CCTCCTCCTCCTCCTCCTCCTCCTCCTCCTCCTCCTCCTCATCTCTCTCCTCTCTCTCTCCTCTCCTCTCCTCTCCTCTCTCTCTCCTCCTCTCCTTCCTCTCCTCTCCTCTCCTCCTCTCCTCTCCTCCTTCTCCCCCCCCTCTTCCCCCTCTTCCTCAGTTCGAATGCGTCTCCCCCACCCAGTATAGCGCTTCGTAGCCCCAGAGGGAGCTTCACCGAAGGTTTCAGGTGGCGCAATTCGCATGCGCCCCCCCCGCCCAGTATAGCGTTTCGTGGCTCCAGGGGGAGCTTCACCGAAGGTCCCAGTGGCGCAGTTCGAACGCGTCTCCCCCCACCCAGTACGGCGTTTCGTGTCCCCAGAGGGAACTCCACCGCAGGTCCCCCACCCAGTAAGGCGTTTCGTGGCCCCAGAGGGAGCTCCACGGAAGACGATACCCACAAGTACGGTCTTCACAACTGCATGTGATTGTATTCTTCGCCAGGCTTGGTGGGCTTGTTTTCCACCACCACCACAACCAGGAGGGGGACGGGGTCCTCTTCTTCTTCCTCCTCCTCGTCCTCCACCTCCTTCCCCCCACAACTTGTGGTGGTGGTGGTGGACCACAGGCCCACCAAGGTTCCTGTTCGTCCCCTCGTGTGCCGTGCCCTTCTGGCGCTGTGGGGCTCCAGCCGCCGGGCGCCCACGGGCGGCCACCGCGCCGGCGGCCTGGCGAACGCCCAGCACCGCGGGGCACAGCACACGGCCCCCCGGCGGCCTCGGGCGCCCACGGTCGGCCACGGCGCCCGCGACCTCGGCGAGGACCGGGAGAGCCGCCGGCCAGAGCACGGGCGGCGACCCATCGGCGACACGCAAGAGTGACCTTTCGCCAGGGTGACCTTCTGGTGCGGGCCTGATGGGGTCCCCCGATCGCCGGGCGCGATGCGAGAGTGGCGTCTTGCGCGCCTGTGTTTGGCCCCCCCCCCCCCCCGCGGCCCCCCAAAAGCCGCGTACCAGAGGTCACTCTTACCCAGGGTCGCTCCTGCGCGCAGCCGAACCCAGCGAAGTCGGCAAGCAGAACATCTGGAAGATTTTTAGGGAGGTCGGCGGCGACGTCGGGGTGGTGTGGTGTGTCTTTCTCCCCCCGTTATCCGGGAAAGAGGGAAACATCTATACACCATGCTTCCGTATACACCAGGATCCGTTTCTGTGTGCGAATTCCAGTGCAGGGCTGGAAAAGAGCGTCGGTGAGAGTTCGGTTCACTACGAAGTACGCGTATTTGGTGGATGCGGGTCAGGTTCGCTTAGATGGTATAGGTTATAAACACATCTCTGTACATATCTGTAGTGCACTATCAGGTCTATCGTGCGTGGAGTCGATCCGTGTTTCGGGTGTGCGGCGGAGTCTATTGGAGTCCAGATATGATGCTGCTGACGCTAGCATACGTAGCAGTGGCAAGGGGATGATGAAGCTATAATGTGTGTCCTGTCGACGTGTCTGCGCGATAACCGGTTGCCGATTCCGAGTTCGCAGTTTTACACAACGTGCAGTGTTTTTGTTGTTTCTTTTTCGTCTTGCAAAGCGTGCGGCGCCTCATGCGGCCGCCGTAGCCGACACCACCCGCAAGTATGACATGCTTGCAGATGCAGTGCTCATTTCGATCCCTCCGATTCGATTCGAGTCGATTTCGGTGGGTTCCGAGCTCGATTCGACTCGGCTTGGGATTCCGATCTGGACTCCGAATCCTCCGATTTCCGCCGATTCGACTTCCCCCGACTGAGCCGCCGATCTCCGCCGATCCGACCCATCGCTTCGACTCTGGGCTCTCCTGCAGATGCTCTGGCAACTGGTGGCCAGGTGGCAGTCTCCTTCCCGGTCGACGAGCGCGGCAGGCTCCAGGCCATGGTGGTGGTCATCTCACAGGCTGGCCGCAGCCGCCTGCGTTCTCGGGCCCCCCGTCGCTCTGCTGCCGGGGGTGGGCAGAAGGCGCCCGCGGACAGGAGGAGGAGGCGCTTCGGGAGACCGTGGAGGAGACCGAGGCGGAGGAGGAGGAGGAGGAGGAGGAGGAGGAGGACGAGGACGAGGACGAGGACGAGGAAGAGGAGGCGATTCCGGAGACCGTGGAGGAGCAGATGGATGGCCCCGAGGAGGCTCGGGCCTCCGGCGTGGCTTCCAGGCCCGCAGGCGGGCCAGCGCTCGGCCCGTAGCTCTAGAGGAGCTGCCTCCTGAAAGGACCTGATGCTCCTCCCCCCCGCCTTGCTGCGGTTTTCAGCCCGACGCCCTTGTCGTGTCTGGGCCCCCCCCCGGCCTCTTGCAAGATTGACGGTGTGGCACGGTCTCAGCGTAGCAGCTGGCGAGAAGGTTGCCCCAGGCACCTGTTCCTGAATTGTTGACGATTCCCGCCAGCCCATCCAGGAACGATGCCCGTAAGAGTTGCGTGAATGGGGAGGGAGGTTGAAGGAGGGGAGGATCGTGAGGAGGAGAACGAGGAGGAGCACGAGGAGGAAGATGATCAGGGGGAGGAGGAGGAGGAGGAGGAGGAGGAGGAGGAGGAGGAGGAGGAAGAGGAGGAGGAGGAGGAGGAGGAGGAGGAGAAGAAGGAGGGGAGGAAGAGGAGGAGGGAGGAGAAGGAGGTGGCGTGGAGGGAGGAGGAGGAGGAGGAGGGGAGGAGGAGGAGGAGGATGAGGAGGAGGAGAGGAGGAGGAGGAGGAGGAGGAGGAGGAGGATGAGGAGGAGGAGGATGCCTTCTTGGGCTATCAGGGGCCATGTTGGAACTACTCCGGGCACTGCAAGGCCTTGGAAAGGGGGGAGCGGGGGGGTTGGCGAGGGTGGGGTGGGGGAAAGGTGGCAGGGGGGTTGGAGGGGTGGGGTGAGGCTCTTTGGGGGTTCTTGTCTCCCTCTTGGAGCGATCTTGGGCCCCATGGTTCAAACGGGGGGTCTTTCATTCGAGTCCCTCCCCTCGGATGCAGAACATGTGCCTCTTTCTGCCCTGCTGGAGCGCTCTTGGGTGCTCTTGGAGCCGTCTTGAGGAGAAGATGACCCCGAACGCCTGTTCTTATTCTTGAAGTCGCCCTGATCGAGCGAACTAGCGGCAACGGTTCAGGAGGTGTACGAGACTCGTGGGAGTACGTCCAGCAGCAGTCTGCGTACTCAGTGGAAGCCACAGTAGAACAGGATGAACGACGTGAAGTCACTCAGTTGATTCTTTCCTCGTCGGGAAGACGGCGACGTGGTGTTTGCAATGATGTAGGGCCACCTTCAGCTATTACGCCATCGTTCTCATCAGCATAGCCTTGGCGTCTTGAAAGGTGCGTCGGTATGAGTGTGAGCCACGTCGAGCAGGATCATGAGGAGAAGACAGCATCGGATGCACTTCGTGTGTCATTCGGGGTGATGCTGCGCCGTTTACCGAATGGCCTTCGGCCCATCCTGCCACTGTGCCTTGGTTGTGGGTCAAAATTTTCAGGGATGCTTTTTGGGGTCTATTCGGAGGCCTCTTGGGGGCAGGTTTGAGGCCTCTTGGGAGCATTGGTGGCCTCTTGGGGGCCTATTGGGGCCTTTTTTGGGCCTCTTGGGGCCTCTTGGGGGACTGCTGGGGGCCTCTTGGAGCTGTGTTTTGGGCCTCTTGGGTTGTTTTGGGGCTCTCTTGTGCTTTTTGGGGCCCTTTGGAGGCCTCGTGGGCCGTCTTGGGGTGACCTTGGGGGCCTCCAGGGCCGTCTCGGAGCGTTGGGAAGCCGTTAGGGCGCGATTTGTCCGCCTCCGTGGGCCCCTTTGGAGTCGAAACTTGTAGTAGGCTCGGGGCGGAGCAACGAAAATGTCACGAATTTCGGTCTGCCAGGGGGGGAAACGTAACGAATTTCCCCCCGCTGGGTAGCAGAGAATTACAGTCGTGCTTCCTATTTGATCTTCTTAAGCCACCAGTCCATACTGAATGTTCTTAATATTGTGGCATTTTCATACGCCTACTTCCCATCGTATAGTTTCTACACCGCCGCACTTCTTCGTCTCGCTCCCTTTCTCTCCCTCTCTCTCTCTCCCTCTCTCTCTCTCTCCCTCTCTGGGCTCCCTGCCCCCTCCTATCTCTCTGCGCGCCCTCCCCCAACGCCGGTCGTCTCCATCTCCCATCCCTCTTGCTACTATCCCTCCTGCCCCTGCTACCCGGCCACCCGCACAACCCTCCATATGTACCACGACAGCTCACCACATCTTATCTGCATTCTCTTGTTAGCGCATGCGAGGCATCTTCTTAAGCCACCAATCCATACTGAATGTTCTTAATACTGTGGCATCACACATTCGCCTACTTCCCATCGAATAGTTTCTACACCGCCGCACTTCTTCGTCTCGCTCCCTATCTCTCCCTCTCCCTCTCTCTCTCTCTCCCTCTCTCTCTCCCTCTCTGGTCTTGCCTCGCCCTCCCTCTCCCTGTCCCCCGTCATCGGCTTATCCGCCCATCATACCCCTCGCTCCTGCCCGACATTCTCTCGCTCTCCCCCAGTTTCTCGCTGGAGGCCCCAGTGCAGTCACCCAAGTTCCGACTCTACTATCCCCCTCGCTTGCCCAAGCAGTGGCCCTCGACAGCTATTTCTCGAATGGTGGCCGCCTCTTCTGCCCCCTCGGACAGGGGCAGCATACCAGCCCCTTTCGTTCACGGCGCCACGCCACACAGGGACCGGCCACCCTTAAGGCTGTGTATTCCGCCAGTATCTTCAAAAGTCTGAGGACAATCACAGATTTCTCTTCATGTTGCCCTTCTGGGAGGCCTCTTTGAGGCCTCTTGGGGCGTCTTGGAGGCCTCTTGGATCGCCTGGGGGGGCATCTTAACCGTCTTGGAGCGACCGTTCGGTGACTCGGGGCCCTCTTGTGTTCGAGGGTCTCTTGAAGCTTTGCCTGTCTTGGGGCCCTCTTGGATCCGAAAGAGTCACGCGACAAGATACTCTGGACCCCAGAATGCACGCCAGAAGCCCCGATGGATTTGGCAATTTGGGCTCCGGGCCACTTAAACTCTTGGATCGAGGAC